TTGCAGATGCCTTAAATAATTACTTTTTTTCGGCGAAAATTGGCGTTTCTAAACACATATTGGACCGTGATAGCATGTCATAGTGAACAATGTGTATACTACTATGTTCACGACTGTTTTTTAGTTTACTTTTCACGCATTTTTGCACATCTCAGCCGAATAATTTCTTCTAGTGTAATCCACACATTTCGACATCAGATTCGAGAGTTGTAAATTAGCCGCTTCTAACTCACAATGTCAACTGTGCTAGCAAAATCTTTCGTGTACTTTGAACTACAAAATACCTTGGAGTTTGTTCTATGAGACAGATCAAACAGGGTCATGTGTTTTGCTCAATTCTTGTTTAACATATGCTAACATAAAATTACCTTATTGATGAGTTGTGTTGTCCAGACCATTTACATTTCACTCACAGTTAATTGTGAGTATTGGTGTGGAAAAACTAATATTGAATGGCTATTATCCTTCAGACTTCAACTTTACACAAAATCCTCAGTTCATCCAGTCAACCATTGCGCTCGGAAGCACCACAGACTCGAGTTTCGCTTTTGTTAGAGCTCATCAGTGGTAGTGCCTATTCACCATCCTACCATCCGGGCCTTGAACTCCGGCTTATCGCATGGAAGGCGTGTATGTTACCACTGTACCAACCAGCTCATGTCAGGGCTTATTCAAACTGCCAATTCATGTTTGTTCAAGAGTCATCTTCGGTGATAGTAAATCAGGTCACTTTTGGCCTGATAGCAACGAAGGGAGACATAATCGACTATCTGTTAACTCCAATCGAAAGCCTCCCATCAAGTCAGGACTTCAATACAGGTTACGGACTGACTTAATACACAGCTACCAGGCTCAATCAATAATTCACATTTAAGTCATAGTTACTGGTGGCAAAACAAACCCCGAATCAGATCGTGCAACAGAAGGCTTGCTTGGATGTTGAGAGATCTGAGGAAGTTCATCGATTTTATTTCGGGTTACAAAACATACCCTTGTTCATATCAATCCCCATCGGTTTGCATATACAACACTAGGCCGCGAGGTGCAGCAGGTGAAAACTGACAAACATTAGAAACTATTTGATGCATTCTTTTCAGTAAGACACTTTGGTTTACTAAACACAGTCTGTTGACTTGTATTTCGCAAAAGCGATGATAATACAACAACAATCGAGATAAAGCTAAGTTGATTTTGGTCTTTTCCAACAACAAACCACCGGGTGACCAGATCGAATTTCGCGAGTACAAAAAACTCACATGGATTCCGGATCACCGGAAACAAATGCCAAAATTCCCTTGAACAAGCCCCGTCTGGTGACACGGAAATAAAGCTGACACTCATCTGTCCTGCCCGGCAGTACTTCGAATAATTCCGCATGTGGTCGAGTAGGAGAGGACCATGAGATGTGGTCTGCCAACTGATCGGTTTCCAGACGATAGCATTGTTTTTTCGAGGTGTGATTCGGTACTGGTATTGTGAACGGATGAAATTGTTCCGCCTGGTCCATGAGATCTCCTCGATCTCCTCGTTCCGGATTGCAGCCACCAATTTGACAGGAAAGTTTGATCAAACCAAGAGAAACCGGTTTCAAACCAGTTCCATGAAGGACAAATGTGTGCGCGCTCCCGTCGACCAAATTGGACAGTGTCAGTTCGGCCTGTGACATGCAGGTGAGATCAAATCAAAAAAAACTCAGATATGACTAATGTTTAGAGATGAATGCACACACACACACAT